GTGGCCCCCACCCCATAACAAAGAAACAGAATTCCCGGAGGATGAGGCCCGGAAATCAGGATTTTAAAAAGATTCCCAGGTGACTCTAATGTGCAGCCAAGGTTGAGAACCGCTGGTCTACAGTGACAGATGCAGCTCAGTGGACGGTTGGTGCTGGGGATGAGTGGGGGAGAGTCACGGCAAAGTATCGACTTTTTGGGGGGTGATGGGAAGGTTTTAAACCTTTTTTTTTAAAAAAAATCTATTTTATTGAATTTTTACAGAGAAGAAGGGAGAGGGATAGAGAGTTAGAAACATCGATGAGAGAGATCGATCAGCTGCCTCCTGCACAGTCCCCAGTAGGGATGTGCCCGCAACCAAGGTACATGCCCTTGACCGGAATTGAACCTGGGACCCTTCAGTCCGCAGGCCAACGCTCTATCCACTGAGCCAAACTGGTTCGGCGGTTTTAAACCTTTTTTTTTTTTTTAATGTAAGGAGTTTATTGGAATGGTTTTTTTTTAATTGCTAAAAGTATTACAAAGGGTATTGCATATGTGTCCTTCTTTATCCCCTGAGCCAAACTGGTTCGGCGGTTTTAAACCTTTTTTTTTTTTTTAATGTAAGGAGTTTATTGGAATGTTTTTTTTTTTAATTGCTAAAAGTATTACAAAGGGTATTGCATATGTGTCCTTTTTTTCCCCCCTGCCCTTGACAATCCTTGATTGTGGGCGCGCTCCCCTTCCCAGCAGCATGCCCAGCCTTCCCCTCCCCTCTTCTCCCCCGACAGGCCTGCATCACCTAAACTCTAGGAGACCCCACCAGCCGTGCACCAGCCGCACAATGGCCTGTGGCAGCTCCACCAGGGCTACCCCCCCCCCCAACCTGCCCAAGGTCCCTTTTTACCTGACTTCTCAGTGGCCAGAGCAGCCCCCTCTCTCTCCTGTTGCTGCTTCTACCCTAGGCCCTTCCTTGGGTCACTATCCCCAACTCTAATAAGCGTCCTCTCAAATTTTTTTTTTTTAAAATCTTGCTTGTGATGTGGTTACACAGGTGTATTATGCATTTTTCACAACTCAAAATGGACGCAGTTTATGGTATGTAGTCTACCCCCAACGCCCCCACAGAAAGATGTCATAAGAACACCTCTTAACGATGTGAAGAGGTTACAGGGGGACAAAAAGGGAGGAGAAGCTTAAACAAGTTTACAGCAACTTGGTCAACAGGTACGAAGAGAAAAATGAAATCTCTGAAGCATTTTAAATTCGACCCCAAGGCGGATTCGCTTCACGAACGCGTTAGAAAGGGTCCCGTTCCTCCGGGGGAGTCGCTGAACCGGCCTGGCCGCCGCGCAGACCCACCTGCGTTGAACTCGGGGTCGTCCTCCAGGACGGTCACCG